TTTGCGGTACACGGGCCTCTCACTGTTGTGGCCTCTCCCGTTGTGGAGCACAGGCTCCGGACGTGCAGGCTTAGCGGCCATGGCTCACAGGCCCATCCGCTCCGTGGCATGTGGGATCTTCCTGGACCAGGGCACGAACCCGTGTCCACTGCATCGGCAGGTGGACTCTCAACCACTGCGCCACCAGGGAAGCCCTGTCACTGCTTTGAAATAGGCATCTTGAAAGGAATAATTGTCATTTTTAATATGGCTTTTTGAAATCTAAGAAACAGTAGGGAGCATTCAGTAACTTCTTGCAGATATTTACTGATTGGATATAATTTAAATACCCAGTTATGCCAACTGTGTTATATTTTATATGGGCTATGATTAATAAATATTTGTAGAATAAATAAGTGCTAGCAGTCATCATTGAATACATAATTACACACCAAGTACTGTACTAGATTTTATGTATATGTTATTTTACTTCATCCAATTGAGGGGGAAAAAAGCACTATGAAGGTAAGAACGATTTTATATATGAAAAAATTGGAAACATAAAAATGTCTTTGTAATTGTCAAAGCTGTTATCTGTATTTATGTTTCTCTTCAAACAATTTCTTTGCATGGTGAGTATGTCAGCTGAAATAATAAATGAAAATATGATAGAAAAGTGTATGAATGAATTTCTAATTTAGGAGTAAACTCCTAAGTCTCGTGTTCAAATGTGCTTTCTAGGGTGACCCCAAGAATGACTCGTGGATCTTTGCCCTGGCTGTGCTTCTATGTAGCAGCTTTGTCTACAACAGCATGAGCACCATCAACCACCAGGCCTTGGAACAACTGCAGTATCCTTCCAGGAACTGAACCACCAAGTTTCATTGAGTTTTGGGGAATGGAGATAGAGTCAGTTTCTCCTTCCCTGTTATTTAGTTGCCTTTAGTGGAGTGGAGGGGACTCACGGCAAAAGAGAGTGATTATAATACTTTTAAATTAGGGAAATGTGGGAATTGTGTGTAGGGGTTTTCTTTTCCTTAACCAAGTTCCTAGTTATGTGACAGAGCTCACAGAACTCATCAGGGCCAAGTCCTTTTCAAGACCTGGTGTACTAGAAGATTCCACAGAGTTTGTGAGTTTCTTTCCAGACTTTATCTGGACTGTACGGGATTTCACCCTGGAGCTGATGTTAAACGGTCACCCTATCACAGAAGATGAGTACCTGGAGAATGCCTTGAAGCTGATTCCAGGTATCAGAGCATGGCCTGGACAGTGGATGGTCCAATAGAGGGTGGGATCTACTACACACCGTCCACCATCTCTGGGGCTGCATTTGTATTTGAGACTCAATCAAAGTCTGTAGAAATTGTGGCTGGAAAGCAGATTGCAAAGCTCTAGGGACTGGAGTCTAAGTTCTCTTAAGAAAAGTAAAGTGTAAGGTAAAGTGAAATTATTCAAAACCAATTTGTTTTTCATACCATTTTTAACTTAGCATCCAGATTACAATGGGTGCTAATTCTTTTAAAGACCAGACACTTGAGTTCCCTACTTTGGCTTCTGCTTTTTTGTTGAGGAAAAAAACTGACAAGATACTTGTTAGACATGAAATTAAAATGAAAAGTCAATCTAATGAAAAAAAAAGTGCATTCCACAGTTAGATATTATTTTTCTCAAAGAGGGAACTTTCTAATCCTGTATAGTATATCATCTACAAAATGACTTTATGTTCTAAGTAATCCTGAAGAAGTGTGTGTCTTTTCAATCTATGCCTTTTCAATATTTGCAATAATTTTTAGAACATTCATTTTACATTTCATATCACAGCTTTCTCCTAATTCCCATATGTTTACCCATGCTTTAATTACAACTTAACAAATTATTTTAATGGGTTACATTTACAGTGGGTATATCTGACGAAATCTTGAAAGATATATCAATTCTGATTTATTCCTTTTTGTTTTCATTTTTCTATTTATGATTTCTTTAAATATTTATTGAGAAATTGGCTAGGTGGGAGAAGACAACTGTCAGATCAAATATAATCCTTTATGTCAAAGAGGTTATTGATTAGTGGTGACATCTTAAAATTACATTTTAGATACATTTACCCTTCAGTGTTTTTTACTAAAAATTAGCTAACTCTGTACCAATTATTTTTTAGCATCAAAATCATTTTCCCTAAATAATCTGGTGTCATTCCTATTATTCCTGATATTGTTCACCATCCCTTTTTTGTGGCTCTTTTTTTAGTCCCACAGCTCAATTTCTACATGAGATTAAGTAGAGCAAAAAGTTACACTTGACCTTTCATTCTTTTAGCCATTAGTTCAGTAAACATCTAATAGACCACTACTCTACCATGTGCAGGTCTGGGGATACCAGCCATAGGTTTCTTTTACTGGATCAGAAGTCTCCCCAGATTTCTCTCCAGAGTTACATCATTGGTATAAGTTTGATGTGCATAGAAGTACTGAATGTCTATGTTAAAGGAGTTATAAACATAGAAGACAGCAAAGATACACAAATCCCTGTCATAAAAACCATTAGCTCCCTTGTCCCAAGACTCTTCCCAGTCTAATCTCTGTTTTTCTGTCCCTCAGGCAAGAATCCCAAAGCCCAAACATCGAATCTACCCAGAGAGTGTATCAGGCATTTCTTTCCAACACGGAAATGTTTTGTCTTCGACCGGCCAACAAATGACAAAGAACTTCTAGCTGATATTGAGAATGTATCTGAAGACCAACTGGATCCTAACTTCCTGGAACAAACAAAGAATTTCTGTTCTTGCATCTTCACCAATGCAAAAACCAAGACCCTCAGAGAGGGAATCACAGTCACTGGGAGCCGTGAGACTCTTTTTCCCATTTCTGTGGGACCATTGAATATTTTATATATGTGTTTTTCAGTAGTTTTGTGTGATTCCATATGGAATTTAGGTTTTACAGACATTCATACTCCATGAAGAAATGTGTATATTTTATACTTATCTTACTTTCAGAGATTTAAAAATCTCTCCCCCAAATTGCAAGTTTTGTCACTGAAATCTGTGGCTTCCACTTATCTGAAAAATTCCTACACTAAGAAAAAAATTCACTATCTGGGTATAAAAACAAAATTCCATTTTCTCAGGGGAAGTCTTGTATAGTAAGTGTTCTTCACAAGGAGAATACAAAAAATATTTTGGGAGTTTACAGTGGTCCAAAAATAAATATTAGCCCATAAATCACTGAAAAATCCATTCAAAGCTCCAGAATTGGGAATAAATATAATCTGATATAATCTGATATACCCTGTCTCATCTAATGCCTCTGTAATCTATCTTGCTTTCAATATTTCAGATATCCCCTAGTATTTTACATAGAGGTAAATTTTTAATTTTTTTCAGCCCTGTGGGCTGGAAAACCATAAAAATGAAGAGTCAGTAGGAAAATGAAGGTAGGGATAGTAGAAGGGGGAAGTGGTGTGTGTGTGTGTGTGTGTGTGTGTGTGTGTGTGTGTGTGTGTGACCTTAGAAATGTAGCCTCAGAATCCTGGTGCCTATTGACTGATAACTTAATATTTATCCCTTAAATGTCCTGTCTTGTTCAGGTCTGGGGACTCTGGTTGTGACCTATGTGGATACCATCAATACTGGAGATGTACCTTGTTTGGAGAACGCAGTGACAACTCTGGCCCAGCTGGAGAACTCAGCGGCTGTGCAGAAGGCAGCCGACCACTACAGTGAGCAGATGACCCAGCAACTGAGGCTCCCCACGGACACGCTCCAGGAGCTTCTGGAGGTGCACGCAGCCTGTGAGAGGGAAGCCATTGCAATCTTCATGGAGCGCTCCTTCAAGGATGAAAATCAGGAATTTCAGAAGAATCTTGTGGTAATTTCTCTTAGTATTTACTATTTGTCCCCTTCTCTTGAAAAAGGGGAGAATATGACAGAATGAAGAGGCATCTGTCAAAAGCCTAGCAGATCCTTTATTGAACCCATGGCTCATCCCTCTCTCAAGGATAAAGTAGTCTGTGTTCCCATCAGGGATAGGGCTTCAAAGGACTACATTTCCTTCTTTTTTCTGCCAAGCCTCAGGCAGAGATGAGAAATGTCTCTCATCTCTGATGTAAAATCAGTATAGATATCTTCATAAAGTAAGTACTTCTGTGGATTCCAAGGCTGTCCAGAGCACCCAAAAGTCATCCTTAAGCTGGTTTCTTTTCCTGTGAACACATTCCCATGACCAGCAACCAAAATTTCTCTTATCAGCCCCTCATTCCAGGCCATTTTCAACTTAGGTTGCTCCTTGTATCATTGAATATAGAATCACTGAATGTTGCAGCTGCAAGGAACCACAGAGATTAGATAATGTGACTCCAACATTTCAGAGGAAGAGCCTGAAGGGAGGCTAAGAAACTTTCCTGTGGTCTTACAGAGAGTTTTCAAGATTGTGTGTAGATCAGATCTTGTGATTGCTATTTTATTCCCTGTACTCCAACAGAATGCTTTTCTCCTGAGGACCACAGTCAGACCAGTCCTTCTACCAGATTCCTTGGAAACGTATCTCCTCTGTTCCTTGCTTCTGGTGACATCTCGCTACATTTCCCTTGCAGGAAATCATAAAGGATAAGAAAGAGGGTTTCTTGCTGCAGAATGAACAGGCATCTGTCAAATACTGCCAGGCTAAACTTCATGAGCTTTCCAAGGCCCTAATGGAAAATATTTCAGCAGGCACTTTTTCTGTTCCTGGAGGTCATGAACTCTACAGGAAAGCAAAGGAAATGCTTAAAAGCGACTATTGCCAAGTGCCCAGGAAAGGAGTGAAGGTGAGGAATAAGGGGAGCATGGGGAGTCTACAGAATAGAGTCAAGGGGGTTTCCTGAAAATCTGAGAGCACAGCACCAGGTGTGGGTAATGAGAGAGCCTGTGCATATCATGACAGCTTTAGCTCTTGAGGTCCATACAATGTTCTTTATTCCTGAGGAGAAATGTCCATTCCCCCAAAATGACTATGGATTTCTAAAATTCACGAGACAGAACAGAAATTGTTCATTTCTTCATCCAGCAACATGCTTTTTGATGTGCCAAGTGCAGATGATCTACAAATCAGTCTTTGTACTCAAGGCTGATCACAAGAGAGGAAGTCCAATACACAGACAATTGCATACAAAGTTATAACTTTTGTGAACCTGTGAAAATGGGCTACATAGGTGATAGTAACAAATGTAATAATAAAAAAGTAATAATGATAATAAGAATGCAGCTGACATATTTTGAACTGTTACTGCCTATAGCCATAATGCTAAGCTCTTTTGCTAGACTCTTTAATCCTTCAAATAACATTAAGAAGCATCTACACTTATTGTCAACATTTTAAAGATCTGAACAGAGAGGCTTAGCAGGTTAAACTAACTTGCCTAAAGTTACAGACATCAAGTAGCAGAGGAAAACAGCAGCACATTTTAGAGGCAGTATTTCACATTGGGAAGAGAAATATATAAAAGCACCAGAGATCCTGGGTTTGTAGAACTGAACATAGTTCTGACTGGCTGGAATCTGGAGTGGGTAGAAGGAAGTAGCATGGGGCTAGATACTGGAGGAAGACAGGTCGCTGTAAGGAGCTTAGGCTTGTTGTAGTGAACCACTGTAGAATTTTAAACATGAAGCAAAAATTACATGGACATACTTGTTTTTGCAGCACTAATCTCCTCAATGGAATTGTAAGTTCTGTGCTCCTTCTTGGTTCCTCAGGCAAACGAAGTCCTCCAGAACTTTCTGCTATCACAGGTGGCAATAGAGAAATCCATCCTGGAGGCAGATAAAGCCCTCACTGATGGGGAGAAGGCTGTAGTAGGTACGGAGTAGGGCTCTGGCAGTCCTGCAGTTCCCTCTGACAGGTGTGAGAGCAAAACCTTCCTGATAAGGAAGAATGAGCCTCTTCTCCATCTGTGGGACAACTCTGCTACATCCAAAAACAGCAAGGGGAGTTATGGTTGGACATGGTTAGATGTCAGCCAGACAGAACCTCTCCCATCACATTCTGAAATGTGCTCTTGGTGGTGTGGGCGCGGGGGGCGGATTTCAGAGATTTCCTACCTCTCTTTCCAATTTTATTTGGTCTCTGAGGTCAGGAGGGTAGAGATCAGTCCTTACCTTATTTTCATCCCTCTCTAAAACCTTCTTGGGGCAGAGGAGCGGGCCAGGAGGGAGACAGCTGAGAGGGAACAGGAGCTGCTGAAACAGAAACTGCAGGAGCTGGGGCAGCAGATGGAAGCACGACAGAGGAGTCTCCAGGAAAACGTAGCCCAGCTGACAAGGAAGCTGGCAAGGGGAAGAGAAAACCTACTGAGAGAGCAGAATATGATGTTGGAGCATAAGCTGATGGTAGGTCAGGCTGTGGCCTTAGTAGTGCTTGACCGTCATTACCCTTGTACATCAGGAAGGGATGGGCGAAGGTTACAGCAAGGCTATGGAGGGAAGCACCACTGCCATTTACTGCTTGTGATTTATTAAAACCCTGAAGCCTTTGAATCCTTCCAAAGCCTTTGAATTCTACTGTATAAGTAGACTCTGGAGAGTTCAGCATGATTATGGCCCCTCCAGTCCCCTGGAGAATATAAATAGTGTTTGGATATCCATTTTGAGAATTTTTAAATGATCTCATGAGGCTTCATTAAACAGATATTCCAAGCACATGTATTTGATATGAGCAGCAACTGGTTTGCTTTACCAGGATCACTGCCAATTACCAGGAACCTTGCTACCACCCAGAGACCCTGAGGTAGATCTATGCTGTCATAAAACTATCAGAAATGTCCAGACTTAAAAACATAGAGAGGCAACGGCTTCTAAACTTGCTGCATTGTCTCCAGGTGTGGATAGATACCCAAGCTATCATGTGGCATAGAGGGAATTCTCTCACTGTCCATCTGGATGTGTTTGTAACAGATTTCTATGATTTGGGTGACTGCAGCATCTTGAGTGGGACTGAGAATTAGTGCAATCAGACCAAGGTTACCTCTCACCTCTCATTTTTTGGCTGGAACATATATTTGTCCTCATGTCAGGCTTAGCTTTTTGGCAAAACCCAATGGTATGTGAATATTAGTAAGGCTGTAAACTATACTTTCTCTTAGTGTTCAGGTCCAAACCAGTAGATATTCTGTATTACAAAATTCTCCTTTCATGACTGAGTAAGAAAGAACAATTTTAGCAGTGAAACAAAGATAGTTTGCAGAGTTTTAAAGTTTGACAAAATGTAATCCTTGAAAAAAAATAGGGATTTAAAAAGTTTTACTTCCCTTCTCACTTTTTTTTTTTTTTTTAGGTCCAGGAAGCTCTGCTTAAAGAAGGATTTAGAAAGAAATCTGAGGAGATGAATGCAGAGATAAATCATTTGAAAAATATGATTGATAATACTAAAGATGATGATACTCCCTGGCTGGCACTAGCCTTGGAAAAATTTGGCAAAGAGATCTCTTCACTATTGTGCACGCCAGGCAAACTTCTTGGTCAAATAGTGAGTGGTGTGAGCTCCCTATTTAAAAAAAAGTAGCTCTCCTCTTAAAGAAATTATATATACACAATATATGTACATGCTCTGGCCTATGCTTGGTGTGAATGCTTTTCACTTTCATTCAGCAAATCTTTAAATATAAAAAGTGGTTACTAGAAAATATCAATGCCTGGCCCACATTAGATAGAATAAATGCATGGACACTTTGATATAGCATGTTCACTTTTAGGAAATATATGTGTGCAAAATCATATATATGTATATATACATACATACATACAAGAGGCCCGTTGAGACATCCCTTTTAATGGCAAAAGATTGGAAACTACTTAAATGTCCATCTATATAAATTGTTAATATACATTTTCCATGTACATATACTGGAATACTATGTAGCCAGTAAATAAATTGACAGTGGAGGTTTATATGTATAAATATAGAACAACCTTGAAGATATATAGTAGAGTAAAGAAAAAATGAGGTACAAAACAGTTTATATAATCTGTTCACCATAAAAAATGCAATTATTATGTGCACTCATATATATGTACACATAGAACACCTCTGGAAGATTCATTAGAAAGTGGTATCATTGGTTCCTTCTGGGGAGAACAGCTTGGCATTAGTGATGGAAGGGACACATACTTTTCATTATATCCTCTATCTTTTCAATTTTGTAAAGAAAGCTTGTATTATCATTTCTCAAATAACAAAGAAAGCATAAAGTATAATACTAAAAATGATAATAAATGGAATGTGAAATTGACTATTAGATGATGAAATTGCTCATTGCTTCTAGAAATGACATCAGTCTGTTCAATGAGTTGGATCAGAATACTAGAAAGCATAAAATTTGCATCCTAATCTTGTTTTCACTTTGGCTGTGTTTTTAATCCCTTATATTTCTTCAAAAAGAAGGTATAAACTTTCCTGTTACCCCTTGAAATCTCAGCTAGAGGAGCCTTCACTTCCTCTCTTTGAGTTACACTTCTAAGGTATTGGAAGAAAATTACTAAACATTAAGAATATGCACTGGTGAGAGGAATCCCATCATTCTTGAATGTTCATTGGTGGACTCTCTGCTGCAGGCAAGGGCCAAAGACGTGATGTATCATTGAAGAACTGGATGCCCTGATAGTACTGGGGATTATAGACCCTGACGCATGGAGGCCACCTGTTAGCATTTCAACATCAGAAGCCCAAGTACATACCATAGTGATGAGAATCATGGTTTGTCTTAGCTGAGGCTGCTATAACAAAATTACCATAGACTGGGTGGCTAAGACAAGAACGTTTATTTTCCCCCGTTTCTGGAAGCTGTAAGTCCAAAAGCACGTGCCAGCACTGTTGTGTTGTTGGTAAGGGTCCTCCGGCAGCTTTACAGATGGCAACTTTCTTACTGTGTCCTCATATTTTTGGGAAAGGGAGGAGGCGGGGAGAGAGCCTCATGATTCTTTGTTATAAGGGCACTAATCAGATTCGTGAAATCCCCATACTCATTACCTAATTTCCTCCCCAAAGGCCCACTTCCAAGTACATTGGAACATTGGAAGTTAGGGTTTCCTCAAATGAGTTTTGGAGAACACAAGCACTCAGTCTATAACGTGGTTGGAGTGGCAGCCAGCCGGACCTGAGCAGAGAAAATTCTGAATATGGCAAATAGAACAGGGTGTCTGTAGAGTCAAAAGGGAGGGGAGGAAACAATCAAATGGAATCTAGGATGTTTACCAGGAGGCTGAGAGGCAGCCTCGATAAAAAAGACGCAGTCCATAGCCTTGATCTAAACCAATTTCAGATCATGAACCTATCACCTGGAGGAGAGGGCAGGATCCCAAGAGAAAGGACTCTGCAACTCTAGAACAAGGTTAAATGATAATGATTTCCCCAGTCCCCCTCCTAGGGGACCTCTGGAAATTCACTTGGTACCTGTGTGATGGGAAATGGGAATGCCCAAACGTTTCGATGACTCTTGGAAGCAGGATCCAAGTTTGCAGTGATACTCAGATCCTGAAAAGACTTCACAGTCTCCCTGTTGAAATAGAGACACGCAGGATCCTGGTAATAAATGCAGTCTTGGCTCAGGTGCCATGCAACTAATTTGGTCTGGTATTTGTTTTCAAATAAAAGTAAAGTTCATCTGAGGACAGAAGCCATTACATATTTTTCTGTACATCTTCATAGAGTATGTTTAGGCACAGAGTGTGCTACATAAGAATCTGCTGGAAAACAAAAGACTGACACATGTGTGACTTATCAATTGCCAGATTTCTATGAACACTCTAAGGGTCTTTGGTAATAGATAGTTCGGATTTTACACACTAGATTAAGGTCTCTAAGGTGACCCGTTAAACCTTTAAGGTCTTAAAGGCTAGCAGAGCAAAAGAAACTTTTCTGATGTAGTCTCCTCAGTGACTTCGTGTATCACAGTCTCTGTGCCTCTGCAAGGATGTTAACACGTCTTCACTGGAGATTTTAAATGACTCTATCCAGTTGTGGCTTCAAGTGTTCCGAAGGAAGAATGACTTTGACTTTTAAGGAAGAAACCATATAGTAATGAATAGGTGGCCAATAAATGGTAGGCTTTAATGAAAAAGCAAACTGTTCTATAGAAATATTGTGTATCTGTTCTCATTGAGAGCTTGAATTAAGCAGATGTTCTAATCCCTTAGACTAGAGACACCCCGAATTGAAGAACAAAAAGAAGTCTTGACTTTTTTAGATTTGACATATAAGGGACATCATACAGTACTTGTCTTTCTCTGACTTATCTCACTTAGCATAATGGGCTCAAGGTCCATCCATGTTGTCGCAAATGGCAGAACATCCTCCTTCCCTGTGACTGAATAATATTCCATTGTGTACATGTACCACTTCTTTTTTATCCATTCATCTGTTGATTAGTGTTTAGGTTGTTTTCATATCTTGGCTATTGTGAATAACAGTGCAATAAACATGAGAGTACAGCTATCTCTTTGAAATACTGTTTTTATTTCCTTTCAATAAAAAATAATAAAACCAACTTGTATTGATCACTTAAAAAAAGAAAAAGGCTTTCAAGAGTAGTTAACAATTTATTCACATATCTAGTACTCATTAAGGAATACTTAGTTCCAATTATTTACACTGTTTACTAAATTCTTATGCCCTACCTGCCATTGTTCTGGATTATGTGAAGAGAGCAAAGTAAAGATCTTGTTCTCATGCAGGTTACCCCCATAGGGAAGTTACATAATATTATGGCAATATTTAGGCAGTAATAAATGTTGCAAATATATATATATATCTTACCTGGATAGTGATTAAGACTCAGAGTAGAAACCAAATAGTCCTTCCTTCTTTAAGTTTGGTTTCAATCTACTCCATCTTGCCTAGGAATATAATTGTGCATTATTGAATCCTAAGGACCAAATATGATAACATTAAAGCATAGTAAAACCCAGATGCATGGTGATTGAAAGAATAAATAAATAGATGAATGTTTGGATCAATAAGTGAGTGTAATATTTCTTTATCATTTCAAGGGGTAATAAATATCCCTACCATTACCCATAGTCAAAATAGTAAAGGTGTTTGCTGAGAATATTGTGTTTTTCCATCTGATGGAAACAATATACAGACAAGATCTCAAATCTAAGACCCTTGGATTGATGCAAGCATCTTGATAGCTGGATTGGAGGAAGCTGAAAAATGAGCAAACTCTCTCACAGAGCAGAGTTTGAGCTTTATAGCTCTGAACCCGAACTCCAGGGTCCCAGAGTGAGGCTAGGACAAAAGGTTTCTGACCTTAGGTAAATACCCAATGTGATTTTCCATCTAAGGTCTGAGTGATGGAACATTTTAGCTAGCTAAAATGAGTTTTTTCCAGCCCTTTTTAAAATAGAAAGATCCCTTTGTCTCTCTAATAGTAGTGTCTGGAGTGCTTATCATTGCTGGTCTTTGCCTGTTTGCTCTGAGATCTGTTCTGCTCCTTTCCTGCAGCTCTCCATTGCTGTGGAAATTGCATCTCAGCACCACACACATTCCTCCTTTCCCTTGCCTGCCTGCTGGGTTCAGCCAAGATATGAGGCCTTGGATGAAAACTGTGAGTGGGGAGGAAGGGACAATTTGGGGTCTCTGCTTCCTGTGTTCCTCAGGTAGTATCTGGGAGGAGGTACATCTCCTCTGCGTCTCCAGCTGCCCCAGCAGAGGCCCTGTGACGCATCACTTTCTGCTGTGAGGCCCAAGCCTCTGGGCTTCAGTATCAGCACCTTGTCCCTTGTCTCTCCAGCCTTAGACTGTTGCTTCTTCCTGCAGTTACTTAGCCCAGGGTTACTTCACAGGCCCCTGTCTTTGATCTCTATTCCTCTATCACCTGTACAAATGTATTATGTGTAAACAAACTGTTTCTGTGCTGTACCGTGACTGATATATCAACTCTGGACCATTCTTCCTAGTACCCCTTTCTGTGGAAGTGTGGCTTCCTTACTCAGTATTGTTATTTGAATGGAAGCCTTTTACTTCATCAATATCACCTTATTCCCTGACCACTGTTTTTGTGCTCACTTGTCCCAGGTTGCACTGAATATGGTGCCCACTCTTGGCCCAGTTGATTGGTCTAGGGAACAAGCCCAGATCAAACATGAATTAATGAATTCGTCCTCTGATATATTTGGAGTAGGAAAGGCCCCAATCTCTCTCTGTCCCTGTTGACTGTACATTAATATATAAAATGCAGGAACTATCAAGTTCTATTTTCCTTCCACCTAAAATATTAATTTTTTTCATTGTGGTGAAATATACACAACATAACATTTACTCTTTTATCTATTTTAAGTGTACAATTCAGTGGAATTGAATATATTCACATAGTTGTTACAATCATCACCACTATCTGTCCCCAGCCCTTTTCATCATCCTAAACTGAAACTCCGTATCTAATAAACAATAAGTTCCCATTTCCCTCCCACCCATTTCCCAGTAATCATTAGTAAACGTTCTATTTCTATGAATTTAACTACTCTGGATACCTCATATAAATGGTATCATACAGTATTTGTATT